TTAGGGCGGGGCATGCGGGCGGATCATCCGCAGATTTGGGCCGACCCACCCGCATTTGACCCGAATTTCATTAAGTGGGTGGGTCTGTGGGTGGGTGACGGGTTGCGCTGAGAGCCATCCGTCGGGTGGTGGGTGGGTTGTGGGTGAGTGTGCGGGTGACCCGCTCAACCCAACAGCAAAAAGATCAAAGTCGTTGGTGCTAGAGAGAGGAGAGTGGAGACGTTAGATATAAACTCGGACTGCTCCTGGAGTTTGAACCTCAAAGTCAACCTTCCAAATAGAGATCCCCTCTTCTTCCCTTTACTTTTTCCTCTAATTCTTGTGCCTAGATCACCGCTCTTTCCTTTGTGGAATTATTTTCCTTAGTTCCTTGGACCTAATAATCGTCTCAATCTGTAGAAAACTCATTCATAATAGAATTTCTATCCAATTTAAGAACTAATTCTACATTTTTCGCCCTATTTCAACTTCTTGTTTTCCTCGATGATTCTCTTCACCTATTATCATGTCAAGTTGAATCATTTATATTATATACATTGTGATGTGGGTGAACCCACAAACCCACCCGCATCATCCACCATCCGCCCGACCCAACCCGAGACTAAATGTGGGTGGGTGGTGGGTTAAAAATTATCAATCCGTTTAAGCGCGGGTGGGTGCATTTTATGGTCAAAATCCACCCGACCCACCCAATGCCCACCCCTAGTTCTTATGCATATAAGTGATTTTCTTTGATAGCTCGCTTCTTAAGGACCTGTTAAGGATTTCCCCCATTAATACAAGTATACAACTTTTCTTTGTGGTTTAGTTTTGGAATTATGCGGCAAAGGAACAATCTGAGGGGTTTCACGGGCAGCTGTAGCATAATAAGGAATTAATGTAGAAAAGAAACATTTGACTAAAAACACAACGAAATAGATGGTTTCTAAAAGATGCTGCAACGAAACATTTTGCGTTTCAGACCCCCTGCAAAATAATGACTGGTAACCTAACTAAATGATATAAAGACATGGAATTCAATCATTCACCAATACCATAAGTCACAAACTGGCCAAGGGATCGACTGGAAGGAGCTTGTAACTTAAACTGATAAATTGGTCATGAAATCTGTAACTTGAACTCATAAAATTGTTTCTGGGAGTTTAAATTAGTAGCCCTAAAAACAACTTAATTCTGCTAAAAATATCTTGTAAATAGTGGCCAACCAACCCATGGCAAAACGTTAACTCCACACAGCAGACAACAGTAGCCACGATAGATCCCTATTCCTAAACACAAGGTTGCTGCTTCTTCTTCCCATGAATGAAGTCGTCAACTAACTCATCAACCTGCACACAACAAGAGAAATGAAAAATTCAAACAATGAAGCATATGAAATATATAAGTAAAAATACAGACTTTAAATTATTTTGTACTGCAACGAAAGGTACAGACAAGAAGGGGTAAGCCACGATAGATCCCTATTGAAAAGAACGTACAAGAAGCTAAGGGCCTGTTTACTTTCATTTCTGTTTCCTGGTTTTGAGAAAACAGATTTTGGAAATAGGTGAAAACAACATTTTGTCGTTTCCGAAAACAGCAGGAAGTTGCCATTTTCTGTTTTCATAGTTGGAAACGAATAGAAAACCAAATAAAAAGTAAACAAGTTTTCTCGTTTGGGTTGCCAAATTTATGACATGAAAACAGAAAACAGGAAACGAAAATGGAAGTGAACAGGGCCTAAGGTGTTGAGAAAGACTGATGAAGAGAGAAAGAATCTTCCACTAGGGAGGGGCAGCTCGTGCTTGACTCTTGGTCTCTAGAAGGAACTTCTCCAATTATCAACAATAGAGGGATCGATGATCATATCATCATATGGAAAAAGCCAACAATCAATTGTCACAGTAGTAAATGCATTAGGGCTTCTGGAAGTTGTGACAGCAGAATCAATTAGTTGATCATGATTAACTTGATGAAGGGAAGACTAATTAACTTCATTATCCAAAGGAGAGTAAGTATTAAGACCAGATTACTGACATCCACTTGATCACATTTTGGAATCTAAACCTATTCAATGCACACATGACAATTTGTAGTCAAAAGAGTTGGCAATGGTAAAATTCCTAAATAGGCTCATGATTTTTATTCAAAAAACCCGCCTTTCTTTCCCAGTTAAAGAAGAGACACTAAGCTGCTAATAACCTGAATAAAATTATTCAAAAAGTGGAATTTCCTAAGCTCGTACAATTTCCTCGTCATTTAATTAGTAATGCATATAAGTTGAGAACTCTGTAGAACAGAACACACCCTTGTTGCAAGTTGTTACGTCCCCAAATATAATCCAATCCATCCTCAAAGGGGTTCAAGGGTTGGGCGAAAACCAAAAGGCAAGAAGAAAATACCTTAAGTCAACAATAATTACAAAAGATAACAAGCATAACATAGTGCCACAAGACACCACAATAGCTGCACATCAATGAAGCAGAAGTTCAATAAGCATTTTGTTGTTCTTTACATGTAATTGCTAGCGAGTTTGAGAAGCATTTTGTTGCTCTTTCGTCTTAAGCGTGCTATTTATGGCCCCCATCACGCTCCTCGAGTTTGGTAAACCAACCTGCGAACTTTTCTCCAAGTCTTTGGCTTTCAAAGGACTCATTCTGATGCTTCATTATTTTTCTATTCTCGCGGTCGGGCCCTCCTCTATTTCTTGGTCTATGTTGATGACTTGCTCTTCACCGGCAATTATCCTGTATGTTCTCCACTTTTTAACAGGCCCTCTCCATTCGATTTTCTCTCAAAACTCTTGGCGATGTTAAATATTTCTTGGGCTTTGAGGTCATTCCGACTGCCACTGGCTATATTTTGTCACAACACAAGTATAAGGTTGACATTCTTCATCGTTTTCTCATGATTGATGCTAATGTTGTCGATACTCTCATGCCTGCTTCTACTTTTCTCACACTTGAGAATGCCCACCCGCCTGTCGATGCCACCCATTTTCGTCAAGCTGTTGATGCTCTCTAACACCTTGTCTACACTCGGCGGGACATCGCCTTCTCTATCAACAAGTTTTCTCAATATATGCATGCGTCATCCACCCATTACTGGCAATGTATCAAGCGCCTTATTCGTTATGTCTCTGGGACCCTCACCTACGTTCTCGCCATTCGCCGTTCCAGTGCTCCGCTGTCCTTGTCCGCAAATGTTGATTCTGATTGAGCTGGCAATCATGATGATGGTTCCTCCACTTCTGGTTATCTTATCTACTTTGGCTCCTCTTTTTTCCTAGCATTGTAAAAAAAACGGATGGTTGCTCGTTCCAGCACGGGGGCCGGATACCGTGCCATTGCTCATGGCGCTGCCTAGTTAGAGTGGGTTCAAAATCTTCTCACTAAGCTTCGGGTTCCTCTGGCCGCACCCCCAACGCTTCACTCCGACAATCTAGGTGCCGCGTACTTCAGCTCCAACCTCGTCTTTCATTCCAGGATGAAGCATTTGGCTCTCTATTACCACTTTGCTCGTCAGCTCGTCCAAGTTGGCCGCCTCCGTGTCTCTTACATCCCCACGACTCATCAGCTGGCCGATGCTCTTACCAAGCCTCTTTTGATTTCTCGGTTTCTTCTGCTCCGATCCAAAATTGACGTCGTTGATACCTCCACCATCTTGCGGGGGGGGGGGGGGCGTATTAGAGATAATCACACATAAATAAATGTATTTTTATTGTATTTGTTTTTCCCTTTATTTCTTCCACTCCTATTCGGTTCCTATCTTTGTGGAACGTGGGGGTCATTTCTGTTTCTCACATTTGTATATTAGTTCAAAGATTTACTCAATGAAATCAAGTCAGATTTTTTCCACAACTATTTCTCAAATATCTCTTTTCATTATTAACCAGCTAGATAAGCCAATTGTTTTTTTTTTTGTTTTTCTCATCCAGGACATGCATATGAGCGGCTAATTTCCTCACCTTACATGGCTGGCTGGCACCCACATGACTCGGAGTTTCCCTGGCTAGTTGCATAACCAGCGCAGTATTAAATAAAAAACCACCTATTATTAGTGATGGGAAGGATAATGCCATAAACAATACAATAAATCATTATTGGCCGGCCGTAAGCTTCATTAATGCACAACGTTGGTTCCAATTATGGATCGCTATAAATAGAGAAGCAAATTAAGCACTTCCACTACAACTACGACATCGATCTAAAAAGTAAATAGGTGCGATAATAACAAGTAGAATAATTATTGGCAGCAAAAAATCTGACTATGGCAACTCAAATTTCCAATGTTTAAAACCTTAATTTTTCGTGACTATTTCATTTGGTTGCCATAGTCCATAATATTGGGTGAGTTAGAAGTTGGTGAGTTAGAAAGTTGCATAAATTTGTCATATAATGTGCTTAAATTACATCATCATTAGGAGTTATTGGAATTTGATGAGAACATGACCTTTGGCCATGAAAATTCGAATATAAAGTTCCAGTTGTTCAGTGGATAATGTTATTTGGATAATTATAAGGCAAAATACACTTCTATATCCATAATTTTCACGGTTGTGACAAATATATCCATAACTATCGAAATACACGAAATACCCAGAAAAGCGTACTATCGTGTGACAAATCTATCCATTTCTGTTACAAACTTTAACGCCGTTTGTTACGACGTTAGTAAATGTGACAGAACGCTGACTAGGACCATACTCATCCCACACCTAAGCTCCACGTCAGCATAATTTGACATGTGGACGCCATGTCAGCAAAAAATAAAAAATAAAAAATAAAAAATAAAATTAATTCTCTTGGCCACAATGATTTCTTCTCTCTCTCGTGGCTCCAGCCTCCATAGCTCGCCGAACACAGTAGCTGATCGAAAAAAACCCATCTTTAGAAAACGCTGACGACAAAGAAGAAGAATCATGTAATAATAGTTCTGGAACCTAATAAAATCATATCCTCATTACTCCTCCTAAACCTAATAATCAGATCCCCCATTACTCCTCTTAAACCTAATAGCTTATGAGATTTCCCGTCGCAAACCAAATCCTTCCCCCTGCTGCCCGTACCCAACCTCGAAGAGTAGCATTCAACATCAAACAAAAGGAGGAAAGGGGGAAATCTGGTTCTGGGGATTTTGAGAAGAAGTTGGCTCTTCCCCTGCCAACTGCTACCACTGAGAAGAAGCTTATTAGGCAAAAGAGATCTGGATCCGCCTCCGATCTTCCTCCTCCGTCATCCACTGTGGCTTTCTCCGCCGCCTCCATGGGGGCCGACGTCGTCGTCCCCAACGGCAATGCGTGTAACAGGGTGGAGGACGAGTACATCAGAAGTCACCATCACCACCAAGTTCAAGACAATCAGTGTAGCTCCTCCCTCGTTAAGCACGTCAAAGCTCCTCTCCATCTCGTGAGCCTCTCCTCCTTTAACTTTTTTTTTCTTCAGAGTCTTTTCTTCCCCTTTCCTTGGAGGTTTCCGATTTGACTTTCTGCTGGAAATTCCGATTCGAATTGCTACCTCCCGATTCCTTTTCGGAAGAGTTCTGGCTGGAATGAATATCCGCATCTGTAATGAGAAAACTCGGGCTGGGATGAGGAAAATTGGATATAGTTGACTAGGGTTTAGGCGGATTGAAGTTGGGGAAATTGCTGCAGTTAGTCCTTTCAATTTGTTTCTTTGTGTTTTGTTTTTTCGATTCGTGGGGAGATTCAAAGAAGAAGGGAGAAGATGAGAGGTCGCTCTTCCGGGAGGAGTAGCGGCGGGGAAGGGAAGAAAAGGGTTTAAGTCCCGTATCTTTCTCTTTCTGTTTTTGTTTTGTATTTTAATTTTTGTTATTTTTTTCTTTATAATACACGTCATTTCGTGGGGTAAATCAATCGCCAACTCAGCTTCTACCGTTAGTTTAGTTATGCCGTCAACTGACGCCGTTAACAAAATGGACGGAATTGGGTATTTCGTGTATTTCGATAGTTATGGATATATTTGTCACAAACGTGAAAGTTATGGATATACAAGTGTATTTTGCCTAATTATAAACCTAAAAGTTAATTTTGTATGTGACGAATTGATATTAATATAAATGCTTGCAAATAGGGAAACCAACTAACTTGTGTACTGTTGGATCATATCATTGAAGAACTTCATACACATTTAATTGATAATGAACAAATGCGAGAGAGAGGAGGCTTGATAGATTGGGAATGATGAATCGTGCTCAGTTGTGGGGGTTTGCATAGAATATAGGAGAGGGAGAGGGAGAAGGAGAAGGAGAGAGAGGTTCATTGATGGATCTTGACTATAGATAGGAAACGAAGTAAATTGGTACAAACTAAAAAGTAACGAAAAAAAGAGAACGGATGTACGCAAAAAAAAAAACGGTAGCAGGCGTGAGCTGTAGCCGTTTCTTTATGGGCTCAAATCAACGGTCATATTTGCTCAGCCTAATATGGTTAACTCAGGCTCACATAAAAAGGTCCACATGTGATTGTAAAATTCTATAATGAACAATAAATTTCGATTTTTTCTTAAGGAATAGTAACCTTGGTTTTATGGTAATTTTTAAGGACTTGTGTTTTAAAAATGAGATTATAAATTCAATAGTGGACAGTAAATTCCAATTTTTTCTTAAAAAACAGTAACCTTGATTTTATGATAATTTTTAAGGACTTGTGTTTTAATAATTCTAACTAATGTTCCTCTATCGCTGAAGCCTGAAAGGATGCTTTTCTGCGAAGATATAATATTCAGAATAAATGGAACCATGCCGGAAGTTATCTTGCAGGTACTTGATCACTTCAATCATTGTTAGAAATATCGAGCTGGTGGGTATTATGCCTTTAATGTAGGTATTTACTAGAACTATGAACATACTGTAGAAATTTGTTCATTTGTCGATTGATTTTAAATGCAAATTACCGTCCAGCCTGTTGAGCAAGTAGGCATAAGCAAAAATGCGGAGCGGTTAGCATGACTACCCCATAATAGGTTTGATTTTTGACACCCCACTTAGATGCCATCCATTTTTTTAGTGTTAAACGAATGGTTAGGATTAAACATCTATTTATTGAGCAGTAATCACGTAATTATTACTCTATAACCTACATTGAAAAGGAAAGAAATCGGGTATCAAGGAAAAAATGGTTTCCAAGGTCAATACAAAATTAATTAACCCTCACCCTTTTATCACTCCCTCTCGTCTCCTCCTATCTCCCTTTCAATAACCTGTCTATGGAAACCCTCCCCCGACGTAACCTCTCCCCACGATGGAATCATCACCCTTCCGTCCTCCGTTACGATTCCTCAATGACCATCGGCGGCCCATCCCATTCGTCGGCCATCCTCCGACTTCACGCTACAGGTCTATGTTTTCGATCGTCGACGCGAAGGGATCGACAGGGAAGACGATGACCCTCCTCACCTTTCCGGCGAAGACAACGACCCTCCTACCCTTCCGACGTTGGCCCTCCTCCCCTTTCCGGCGAAGACGACGAAAAAGAATATGAGGTAGCACTCTCTCCCAAACTCATATATATATGGGTTTTGCGTGTGGTATTAGTACTAGTGCAATGGTCTTTTCCTCACTCAGATCTGTGTTTTTGAGTTTCGAGAACTGGATTTTTTCTTGTGGTATCAGTACCTTTGTACTGGTATGTCTATCACTAGAGTGGTATAAATTGTTGATTCTGGTACGGAAGTATACCACTCCAGTGATAGTTGATTCTTGGATAATGTAGTATTGTTTATTTGACTGCAGTCTGTCACCACATTGATATAGTTAACCATGTGAATGTTTTTGTGGCATACTGTGTCTATCACTTTAGTGGTAGATCTATCACTGCAGTTGTAGATCTATCGCTGGAGTGGTAGTTCGTTGTGATGTTTTTGTGGGTAGTGCTATCACTGTAGTGGTACAAACAAAATCATTATGGTTGTTTAAAGTACAACTACCGTAGTAATTATGTTTAGAATGGCTTTCTAGGATAGAGCTATCAATGAATTGATATATCTGTAGTGAAAGTCTTATTGTTGATCTCATCTATCAGTAGTTATATTTATTGGTTTGACTTTTGATTTTACATTCTTTGATTTCAGTCAGAGCAGTGAGTTCCTCGAGAAGTTGTGGAGCGGCGTCGGATGCACGCTAGGAAAGACAAATCGCACGGAGCAGGGAGTAGAGCACGTTCCGGACTACAAGCGAGAGCGATTAGGGAGCTTGCAAAATGGAGCAATGAGAATGAAGATATTTATGGTCCAGCAACTCTTAATGTCGAGTTTCAACGAAAGTTAAAGAGGCTTGAGGTGGAAAAATATATTGTATTCATTTGGTTAATCAAATTGATGAAGAATTTAATGGATGCATATTTTGGAAACTTTAATGGTATTTGGTGCTCTATTTTCACATTAGTAGTATCCTTCCCCCAATTCTTATAGTTTAGTGGCGTGTAGTGTATTTCTCCCATACAAAATACAAATGAAGTGGTACATTAGAAGTGGCAAATACGAGTTGGAGTGATAACAATACCAGTGCAATAATATTTTTCATAACAATGATAAACAATAACGAAGCAACAATGCAATACCACTTCAATGATACAAATACCAGTAAATTCCCTCATGCCATACTCTCCGTGGTACATGTATCAGTTTAGTGATACATGTATTAGTTCAGTGGTATATGTATCAGTTCAGTGGTACAAGTACATTATATCTATCGCTGCAATGGTAATGTTTGAACATCGATATTTCATCTAGAAATTTGTCCCTCAACAATTTTAAAACAAGTTTACAAACTTCAATATTGGTTCCGGAACAATGTATCACTAGACTGGAACATAAAACCACAACATTAAGGGTAAGCACTGTTACTCTTGTCATGTCACTGGTACATGTTCATTCAAACAAATATACTAGTTTACGACCGTATTGACAACACCTAATGCAAAGCAACTAGGTTGTTTACGCAGCTTCAATAACCAAATGTGTCCGTCTGGACCTTTTTAGGGGAAAATACCATTGCAGTGGCATTATATCACTTCAATGATACAAAATACCAGTGCACTGGTACATTGTCAGGCGGGGGAAGTCGACGAGACATGAATACAGATCCTTACTGAGATTGTTTTGGTGTTCCTTGGCGTCTCTAATTGGCTCCACTTTCACGGCAGCGCCACCATCTTCCATATGCTCGACGTTGATGATTTCGGGCCGCGTGAAGTGATGAAGTCGATGTCACGGGGAGGAGAGTCGAGGAGAATAGAGAGATGGTAGAGGGTCGGCGCCGGCGGCTGGAGATAGGAGGGTGGTGGTGGTGGAAGGCGCTGGAGGAGAACGGCGGCATGAGGGATGGTGGCGGCACAGGTGGAAGGTGTGGAGGAAGAGGGCGGAGAGAGGTGATGGTGGCGGCAACGGGAGGAAGGCCGGAAGGATGGTGGTGATGGACGATGGTTTCCGGTCGCCGTTGATTTCTGCTGAGGAAGAGTGCCGCTGTCAAGTTCTGCAGAGGAGATGAAGGGCTGGATTGCTATTTTTTCGAAAGGAAATGTGGGAATATGGAAGCTGAAACGGTGCTTTACCCTTCCATCTACATTGGTCCTTCCCAATTAATTCATAATTATTATTGCAAACTTTCCCAAATTACAAGATTAAAACAAAAAACAAAAAAAGCTTTAATTAATACTTGCTAATGATTGAAAAAATAAATTGACCAATCACAAAGAGGGTGTCAAAAATCCAACCCTTTTAAGGGTAGGCATAGTATCCGACCCCGCAAAAATGTTTTTGGTGTTACTCATGATTTGCATAGAGTTTTGTGTAGAGTTCGTTATTCATTACTCATCTCACAGTATTGCAAATGTGATTTTTTCATCTTGAAATTTGATTATGTTTTTTTAATGAGGGATACTAGAAATTGTAAAATTAGTGAGGGAGACTAGAAATAGTACAATGTTAGATTGCTTAGTATGTGTGAACAAGATGGTAGATAATACGAACAGTTTTTTTTTTTTTTTTGCAAAGTCAATAGTTATAAAGACAGTCATACATTTTTTTTTCAAAGTCAATAGTTATAAAGACAGTCATACAGAGAAAATAAGAAAAGCGCGGGAGTCGATCACTAGCCGAACTCCCGATGAAAGGGCCTTTTGTGCCACATGATGGGCAGCCCTATTAAGTCGACGAGAAATAAAACAGTAAGAAACTCAGCTAAAGCGAGAAGCCAAGCTCCGAACATCCTCCAGTATAGCTCCACCTCGATCATGAGCCAAGTCACCTCGATCATGAGCCAAGTCACCTTTCACCATCCACCGTATGTAATGTTGAGAATCCCCATGAAATTTGACAGAAAGAAAAAAGTGTGTTAAGCATCATTGTATGGCATATCGTACGGTCAAACTTTCCATAACAAATGAATCATGTATTCCTCCATAGTAATTTTCGAAACCAAAGAGAATATTACCTGACACATGAAAGTCTACAAAGCCAATACTACCTTATTGCCCAGCACCGTCCCTGCATAGCGTTCGCCGAAGACAACACTAGGCCACCAATGTAGCCGAGAAAGAATCAACAACAACAAATCCTCAAGAGAAGAAAGTGTCCTTGAAATGACCAGAATCGGCGAGCCGCACAATGACGATCCAAAATACATACAGCTAAGTGTTAACAAACCTAAAAGGTTTTTTTTAGAGCAAACCGTTTCGATTTTGATACCAACTATTTCTATTCATAACAAATAAAATGATTTTTTTTTTCTGCGACGGGGACTTTTCGTTGCTAAAGATGTCCATCTCTTTGCATTTGATATGATTAGCATGGCCCAGGGCCGGCCCGTTACTTTCGGAGGCCCTGTTCGAAACTTTGAAATGTGGCCCGAAATTTGTTTTCCATTAATTTGTTAAAAAAATTAAATAATACTAAAAGAATACATAAGTTCAAAAAATAATAAATTATCTATCATTTTTAAAAAAGTAACAATTCCCTCATATTGTTCAAAATATAACGTTAAACCAATCAAAATTTTCAATCAAAAGTTTCCTAAAAATGGCCAGAAACTAAACAGGCCAGCCGACTTCACTCTTCAAATGGGTTGTGGCCATTCAGGCCCAAATAATCCTTCGGCCTCCAATCCTCCATCCGCCTTCTCCTCTTTCGACTTGAAAGTAACAAAAAATAAAATATACAGAGACGATTGAATAGCTGAACGGAGAGAGATGAGAGGGGAACTTACAAAGCGACGGATCGGAGACAACAGAGAGCGAAGAAGGAGAGCCGTACACGGCGGCGCCGGCACGGACAAGGAGTTGAGATTTGAGGGTGAAAGAAGTCGGAAACAGGGGCGGCGCGCGTCGGTAGGCGGTGTTTTCGTGCTGCTTCTCAGCTTCTGTGGGTCTGAGAATGGAGATTTGGAGGGGATCAATCAGGGGAGAATTGGAATCAAAAGATGGGAGACTTGAGTTTGATTTCGGCTGCTTCTCCTTTCTTTTTTTGGCCGACTATCAAGGAGGGGATTGAGCTGATTAGTGAACGTTGATTAGGAGAATTGAAGGTTGGATTGTTGATTACTTGATTGTTCAACGTTGATTAGTCATTAGATGAAGGTTTGGGAAAGTAAGAACTTTTTAGGAGTTAATTAGTTGAAAGCTAATTTGTTTTGGGGAATAGTTGAATTGATTGCGGTGTCTGGATTTTGATTTTGGGAAAGGGAAGTTGAGAGCCCGTTGTGGGCTTGTGGCCTGTGAGAGGAGGAAGAGTGGAGACGATGGCTTTTCTTTTTCATTTTTCCAAATTTCAATTTATTTTTAATACATAAATATATAATTGTATGAATTGGGCTGGGCTGATGAGGCCCCAATATTCTTGAGGCCCTGTGCTGTGGGTCAGGCCAGCACAGGGCCTGGGCCGGGCCTGGCATGGCCGTCTCCATGCTGAAAGAAACCAAATAAATCAAAATGCTCCTCCCAAACGAGTTACTGTCAAATTAATTCTCTTTAGAAACATTGTGTAAAAATGTCAAAAAAAGTTGCTGTCAGATTAACCATTTTTAGAAACAAATGATATGGTGGTTGCGGGTGGGTGTATGCAGGATGCTCCTACTCCCAGCAATTTGTTGTTTTCTCTCTTTTGGTTGTTTGTCTTGGTCCAATCATTCATCTTTATAAAAAAAAATCGGTTAGATTAATCAACTAGCTAATTGAAACAAGACATGTTCGCCCTTGATTCCCATATGGCCATATCTATATATGTTCATTTGCTGGATCAAGACAGGTTCCAAATCAAGCAATTAGCTAACTGACACAATTATTAGATAGGACGAAAATTATTGTAGGAGATAATATAACTAAGTCGAGCAGGATCAAACAATATATTCCCATTGAGTGCAGGATCAAGACTGGTTCTAAATCAATCCAACTTGCTGACTGATAATAGGACGGAAATTAGGTATGAGATATGGTGCATAATTCAATATGGATTTTTTAGATTTGAGTGGAGCCAGAAAGTACATATTTAAAAGATGAGAATTAGTGGTTTTTTATTTGTTCTGTTTTTTTTTTCATCTGTACTTATCTTTTTCGTTTTATCTTTGATTTCCTAATTTTTTGGGACAACTAGAATGAGTTCGTTGTGATAAGTAAAATACGATCCATTTTCAATATACTCCGGGGAAAAAAATTCATACCACTAGTTACCACTCTGGTACCACCTTCGTTTTTAACTCGATTTTTGAAAATTTTGCGTGGATGAAACGAGTTTGTACAACTGCATACTACCCTGGTATAGGATTGGTAACTTGTGGTACACAATGATGAATATGGTAAATGACAGTGATATAATCCTTGAATCAATTCATTTTCATCAAGGATTGATCATCAAAGAGGGCAAGTCAACAAGCATGATTGAACATAAAATTTGTCCAAGTCTTTTTTACGTTTTAGGGTACCAAATTTGGAGGCTCGGTTCTTTCAATTCACTCGTTGGAAATTCGAGTTTGATGGCTTGTTTTGAAGGTGGAGTATCCCTCTACAATGTGGATGGCCTAGAGGTTCAAGATGAAGTCTGGAGGGCCATGATTGAAGCTCTCAAAGCTGCCATGTCGAACCTGAGAATCTTCGTGTTTTTGGCTAAGACAAATGACAAGATCAAGGTGCTTATTTTGGAGCTTAATATATGGATTTTGAGACACATCCAGATGTTGATTCGAGTTGGGATGGAAAGTAGAACACTTTCTAAATCAAGGGTGGGAATTGGATGAGCTCGACTCGGCTTGGAAGACCTTGTTTGAGATGTCCCATGAAGCTATCTCAAACCGGCAGCAATACGAATCCCATAAGGATTCCGAGTTCCATTCGAATTACATGTATATTTAGTTTCCTTGTTGAATTATGTTTATTTCACGTAGTGTTTAGCTTTGTTTCAGTTCGTTTAAGCCTATAAAAGGCCTCATTTGTTGAGTCAAAAAGCTTGACTTCGCAATTCTATTATCTTAGGATATGTTGCTTTGAATATGTGTTATTATTTTAGACTGACAATCCTTGCAGAAATATCACAATCAAGGCCTTGAAAGGTTTGCCAAGAATCTCTCTGGAAATGATTAATTTGTTATGACGAACTTGTTCCAACTATGATAGAAGTTTACACTTCTTTGCAATATTGGAGAGAACACAATTAGAGGAAGTGTAGAGAGAGAGAGAGAGAGAGAGAGAGAGAGAGGAGTCGGGACACACGATTTTAACGTGGTTTGGCCAATATGGCTTTACATCCACGTCTCGGAGATAGTCACCACTATCTAACGAGAGACTCTAACTTTTATTAAAATAAAAGACTCTCTAACCTATGAAATAAGAACAACCTTGACACTATGTGTCAAGAACCAAATAGATGCAGCTCCACACCTATTCAACCCTTAGCTAAATCCAAGCTAAGATACCCACTCAATCAATCAAGCCAACACTCTTAGTTTGACCTGATTGAAGAGTAATCCACCTAGTGCAACTTCCAAGCAAGAATACCCTTTGCAGATCAATTAACCTGACCTAGCTTGACTATCTCAACTTCCGAGATATCAAGCTACTCACACCATGAAATATGGTCACACTATTTCGCTATTACAAGGGAGAAGAGAACTTTGCAAAAGGTAGTCTAGACTACAATTGACTCTCCTATATTATAGTGAAAGCAAAACTTCATTTCCTTTCATTTGTAGTCCTTTATGTGGCAAGTATCTCCTTGATTTGATACGCTCTTCACTTGATATGGTAGCTTCTTGAAGGGCAAGCAATTACTTTGAATTCTTTCCTTTTCTTAGCAAATCCTTTCAAGGCCTTGATTGTGATATTTCTGCAAAGATTGTTAGTCTAAAATAATAACACATATTCTTATTACCTCTGAAAGTGATTAAGGAAATAGTGATTTTATGTAGACAGTTTCTATGGGGAATAGGTGAAAACTCTGCACGAAAACTTGTTGTGGTAGCATGGGACAAGTTACCTAAACCAAAGCAGGAAGGGGGTTTGGGGATGAAATGTCTTAGAAATAGAATATAGAACCTTGCTTGCACTAGACATGTCTGGAATGTTTTGATTAAAAGAGAATCCTGGTGGGTAGCATAGATTTATAGATATTGGATGAAAAGTCTATTAATCAGTGAAAATGATATGAAATGATTTGAGTCTTGAGAACCCCGGCTTCTAAAGTTCCCTGATATGCATTGGTTTGGGCCTTTGGGGCCAGTATAGTGTTCCTAGACATAGTACAACTGGCTGGTTATAAAGACAGATTAATTAATGACTCGGGAAAAATTGAAGATGTGGGGCAAGATCTCTAATGATGGTTGTGTACTTTGTCGTAATGAGAAATTGAAGAAATACGTCTAGAAAAATGATCTATTTTTTTCTTCACAATATATCAAAATTCATATCATTTTGAAAAAAATTATTGATCTAATTTTTCTGCGTAGAATTATTTTCAATTACGGATTAAAATTATTACAAATTTTCTCCCCGAGAACATATACAAACCCAATAAATAATTTTTCATTAAGTATGATGATCTCCATCAAAGTTCTCGTGAAACTTGTATACAAGATTACTACCAGCATGCATGGTAGACGACTCAAGCATCGCCCAATACCGATGAATGGGTGAGGATAGGGTAATAATAGATTAAGTGTTAGCACATAATAATAGCATTTTTTGTTGATTATAAAAGGGTATAACTTCCTACCAAAATTAAAAAAAATGTATAACAAGGTAATACTTTTTTTTTTGTGAAACGGTAATACTATATTTTAAATTAAGGAGAGAGTATCGAATTTTGAATGCCGAAAAAATCCAATAACGTCACTCAATCTTTAGATCTGATCTCTGAGGAGTCTCCGTGCTGAAAAAACCCAATAAATTAAAACCCTCCCAAACAAGTTGCTGTCAGATATTTGATCTTTAGTAACAAAATGTAAAATACCCAAATAAGTTGCTGTCAGATTAACCATTTTTAGAAAAATATGTATTCATTTTGTGGCTACTATTCCCTGGACCAGATCAGGTCAGTATCTTTGCTGTCAGTAACTATCAGTAATCCAATCATGTGTCCCCACGTGTCAGTTTTTTTTTTTATTTAAATTAAACACGGAGGGGCACTAAGATAAAATTGGACCCCCTATTTAATGATGTCTCTGACGCGCTGACGCTGACCAGATCACATCAGCGCCTTCTCTCTCCTCAAACAACATTTAATTTCCTTCTCTTAATCTTTAACGGACGATTTTTCACTTGTTTTAAATCGGAATTTAATTTTTTTTGCACAGTTAGATCAGATTAATTGTGCTCTTCAAAATGATATCCACTTTGATATTTTTCAGACATAAAAAAATTTGTCAGTTATTACCAGTCTATACCATATGGTAATGACTGGTATTGACCATACCATATGGTATGAAAAAATTTGTCACATCAATATATATTACGTTACCACCCAATACCATATGGTATAGTGTGGTAATATCAATATATATTTGGTTATCACCCAATACCATATGGTATAGTTTGGTAATATCAATATATATTTCGTTACCACCCAATACCATATGGTATAGTGTGGTAATATCACACAATACCATATGGTATAGAGTGGTAATATCAATATATATTTCGTTACCACGCAACACCATAAATTACCATACGGTATAGTGTGCTAATATCAATATATATTTCGTTACCACCCAATACCATATGGTATAGAGTCATAATATCAATATATATTATCTAAAAGGAAAAAAACAGAAGGAGGGAGAGAGAAAAAAAATCGTCTTCTGATGCCTCTCATTTTCTCTTCCCCAATCAAGAACACCAAAATGCCAAAAAAATGAGAAAGATCGGAATTGAGTCCAACGAGTTGATGAAGAGAAGAAATGCAATAAAAGAGAGTGACTACAATTTTTATGCTAGAGAAAAAAACTGAAGAAGGAAGAGAGCAGATCTAGATTTGAAAATGAGATTGTGAGAGAAAAAGTAAGAGAGAAGGAATAGAGAAAGAGAAAAGATCTGGAAAGAGATTGTAAAAAAGGAAGAGAGAAGGAAGAAAGTTGAGTTGCAGAGACAAGACTTCTCTCTCTTTCATTGAAAAGTCAGCAATTAAAATGCGGAATAAATAAAAAAAGTAAAAATACAAAAACGGACAAAAATGCCCCTCCCCATCCAGCGTCCAGCCCATCCACACGATTTCTCCATCCCTGGATCTACGGCCCGCGTGTTGTTACTGATGGATCAGTAACCAGTGGTTACTGATCACCCTATCTTGGACCCTATTCCCAGCAATTTGTTGTTTTCTCTCTTTTGGTTGTTTGTCTTGATTTATTCTAGAAACAGTAGTACGTATTCATATGGTGGTTGTGAGTGTTGATTCAAATGTTCATCTTTAGAAACAATTTGTTGCCGGATGAATCATCTTTAGAAACAATACGTGTTCATGGATGCATATAACGTGCATAACCAGATCTGAAATTTTTAGTTTTAAGTGGGTTAGATCTAAGAGATAAGAATCATTATTCATTAATAGTTCTTTAGGATTTTTTCTTTTACTTTTTTAATCGATTTTTATCTTCTTTGTTTTAACTGAGATTTAAAAAAAAAATTACACACATGGAACTGTTTCATTGTAATATACACAATGATAACAATTTTTAATATATTTCGTAAAAACAAATTCATGTCACCCATACCGCCATACGACTTGTTACCACCCTGGTAACATATGATATCAGCTTTGCTTTTACCTCGAATTTTGAAAAATTCGCACAGAAGGAACGAATACGTTTTGATGTATCATCCTATACCACCCTAGTACGGGGTGGTAAATGGTGCTTTACGTTCATAAAAAGTGCTAAATGGTGGTTAATAATATCATGTATGCGATCATTTTACACTCTTATGGGTTCATGCCTGCATGATACACACTCTTATAGAGGGTATAATCTTATGTACATACCAAAACGTACCACATTGCATAATAAAAATTCTAATATATAGTTTTTTTTGTGTTCCAAAATAGGTCTATCGGTCTCTATAAATAGTGAAGCCAATAAAACACTACAAGTACTATTACATTTACATCCATCCGATAAGCTAAGAAGCTCGAAAAGGAAAGAGCTGAGGTGCGATAACAACAAGTAGTAAATATATAGTTTGTATCGATGGATTCGGAAACTGCAATTCAGCTGCTGGAGGCTCAGCGGCAAGTTTGGGATCACTCCTACGCCTACATCAAGACCATGGCTGTTCAGTCCGCCATGGAACTGGACATCCCAGGCGTGGTCCAGAGCCACGGCAAGCCCATCACCGTCGGCGAGCTGGGCTCGGCCCTGAAAATCGCACCGGCCAGAACCCCTTTCCTGGCCCGCCTCATGCGGATGCTGGCCCACATGGGCTACTTCGTGGAGAATCTGAAAGACGGCGATGATGAAACAGCGACGAGCTATTCCGCAACGCTGATGTGCGGGTTTCTGGTCAAAGACAGCCCTTTCAACGCCGCGACATGGTTCCTCCTAGCCAACGACCCGATCGCGGTGGACCCGTGGCGCTCTTTCGGCGCTTGGATTCGTCAACCCCCCGCCGCCGCCGGCGGCGGAGATTTCCCGTTCACCCATGCTCACAACGGGAAGAAGCTGTACGAGGTGTGCAGGGATGTCCCGCGGATCGCGAAGATGATGAACGAAGGGATCGGAAGAGACATCTGGCTGTTCAGCAAGGCCCTGATGGCCAAGTGTGGGTCCCACTTCCAGGATCTCAAGTCCATCGTGGATGTCGGCGGCCACACGGGCACGATTTCCGAGGCCCTCGCGGAGGCCTTCCCGGGGATTCACTGCACCGTCTTCGATCTCGCCCAGGTGGTCTCTCCGGCTGGTGACGTGTTTCAAGAGATCCCTCCAGCTGATGCCGTCTTCCTCAAGGTAAGTTCTAGCAAGTCTTATGATGCACCCTCTCACAATACACGAAGTGATGAAGAGTCTTTTTTTCCCCACCTTTCAATGCATACTGCTTTGGGGGAGCTTGTGAAATGTTAAATTGAATGCTAATTATTCAAAAAAAAAATGTACATGCAGTGGGTACTGTGCGACTGGAGCGACGAATCATGTGTGAAGATACTGAAGCAAGCCAAGGAAGCGGTGACGAGCAGCAACGGTGGGGGAAAGGGAAAGGTGATGATAGTAGAAATGGTGGCAGGGCACCAGAGCTGCAGCGATCGCGAAGCGACTGGAACACTCTTGTATCTTGACATGGTAATTATGATGACTGTTGAGGGTAAGGTAAGAACCGAACCACAGTTCGCCAAGCTCTTCTCTGAAGCTGGATTCGCCAGTTACACCATTACCCCAGTTTGCGGCCTGCGAGTCCTCATTGAACTCTATCCTTAGATTGGTACGTTACATATCTATCAGAGGCGACTCAGATAATAAAGTATTCGAGGGTTTCGTAGCATCTACGAGCTCCCACACCTTATATACTATTTTAAGGAAAAGCCCTCTTAGCTTGCATGCATGATGGCCATTTATATACCAATGGTTTCCTAGCTGCGACCTTGCTACCTACGTGTGTTTAGTTCCACTGTCAATTATATATGTAATAGTGATGGGTAGATCTTTAACGATCTATATATTGTCAAGAACCTGTTGATCCCAATAACTCGAGTTGTTGGAAGAGGTTCAATCGTGGATCATATACCACAACACTAACACGCCCCCTCAAACGAAAGCCACTCACAAGAGCTTGAAGTTTGCACAGGTCTGAAGACAAGAATACCATGTGCTTAACAAATGGGGGTCACCGGGAATCGAACACAAGACCTCTCGGTCACAGAAGGCTCTGATACCATGTCAAGAACCAGTTGATCCCAATAACTCGAGTTGTTGGGAGAGGTTCAATCGTGGATCATATACCACAACACTAACATATATAAGCCCATTGAGCTCTATGAAACAATTAATACAATGCGGCTTGATTAGTGCGGTTCTTCGTCTAGGTTGTGGTTACTCTCATTTTAATATGATCTCTATGAACTCATTATTATCGGGGATTCTACAGTAACGTGACCTGGAACCGATCAGGTCAGTAACCTTATGGTGAGTAACCATGAGTAACCCGTCCACATCAGCATGACATCAGCATCCTTCTCTCTCTTGGAAAGCCTATAATTTTTCCTTCCTTAATATTTGACGGACGATTTCTCACTCATTTTAAGTCGAAATTTAATTTTTTTACACAATTAGATCAGATTAATTGTTGTTTTCTAATTAGTTGATATTGAACATAAATAAAATAATTAAAAACTAAATTAGGAGTAAATAAGGGGTAATAATGTAATTTCCTAGTTCATTTAACGGTCACTTAACAAAAAATTATATGGAAGGGTACACTTGTTACGTTTTAATATTAGAAGAGTATGTTTATGCAAAAAATTAGTAAAGAGTACGTTTGTTAATTTACTATAGTAGAGGGATACAAAATGCTATTAACCTTTTTAAAACTAACAGTTAACTAGCACTTACCTAATATAAATACTCGGCTTTTTACATAGTTGTATATAAAATGAAAAAATTATAACATATAATATTTTGATTATGTAATTAATTTTTCAATTTCTCCTCTTTAATATATATTTAATTTAACACTTAACTTTTATGAGATGATACTCTATCATTCGAATAATTTACGCTATGTTATAAAAAATATATTAACATCTATTTTTTATATATAAGTCATATTTTAGGGTTCACTATTTATGAAAAGTTTTTTTTTTAATTTTCATCAACTTTAGTGGCATAACAATAAGACCACATATTTACATAATTTTCATTTCTTTTTTTATTTTTCCTTCATTTGCAAATAGACACATATATTTCTCATTTCTTTTTTTTGGGTTGAAATCGGAGCGCTTCAGGGGCGCTCTAACCCTTATCCATTAATAAAACGAGGAGTTGTAACCCTAATCAAATCAAAGTACAGCCAGTAATTCATGAGAAAACAGGGAATCGGAAACGAATGAACTGAGTGTGCCTGAGTTGTTTAGCGCGAAACTGAATGTGCGTAATGGTCTCAATCTTGCCTTCAAACTGGTGATTATTCCGGTTTTTCCACAGGAGTCAGCATGTGCCTGCAAAGAGAGTAGCGTCGATGGACTGGCCACAACAGACATGTAGTGAAGGAACCAATGAAATGGGTCAGCCTGAAATAATTCCTGGTCTAGTTCATGTTCCAAGAACTCCACCCACATACCTCTAGCATATGGGCAGTCTCAAAGGACATGGGTCACGGTTTCGGCACCATCTCCACACACAAGGCATGTCGGTGTCATTGTAAGATGTCGTCTATGTCGCTCCACGTTGGTGAGAAGACGACCTTGAGTAGTGAGCCAGAGGAAGGCTTGAACGCGCCTGGTCGTCGAAGTACGCCAAATTGCACGCCAAATGGGATGGTCGCTGGAGGTTCCTCTTCCTCCGAAGTAAGATCATAAGCAGTGCGCATGGAGAATTTTCCCGATGGAGAAAGCCTCCACACCCTAATGTCTTGACCTTCCTCATGGGGGACTGGATGGAGCAAGACCTGCGAGACAATAGCATTGGGTAATAAAGCATTTAGGTAGCTCACATTCCACTCACCATTTAACACCATCTCCGCCACGATCAAGGTTTGAGCCTCCGGCGGTAGGTTGACAGCAAGCTCCGCAAGGTTAGGTCCATCCAACAGCCATCCATCGGTCCAAAACCGGGTTTGTTGACCACTCTGAATGTTCCACATGGTGGCAGCCGGGAGCAAGTGCCAGATCCTCAGAATACCCCGCCACAAATTAGAAATGCGTCCCGAAGTCTGTGGCTTCAAAACATCCACTGTCTCTTGCAAATATTTGGCACGAACAACTCGAGCCCAGAGTGCCTCGGGCTCGGTAAGTAAGTGCCAAGCTAGCTTCAACATAAAAGCTTTATTGGACCTTGTTTCCGTCCGTAGCCCTAGCCCGCCTTCATCAATTGGGTGGCAGATGGTCTCCCAATCGACTTGGTGGATCTTTCGGCCTGATTCTGTGCTTCCTCGGATGAAGGCTCTAGTTTTCCGATCGATGTAGTCTCTAACATTAGCGGAGAGGAAACTTGTCCGCATAGTATAAGCAGGAAGAGAAGCAAGCACTGATTGCACAAGAGTGATCCTCGCAGCTAGTGACATGGTATTCGCCTTCCAACCCGCCAGGCGGGTATCGATCCTGTCGATGAGGTCCACATATGTCGCCTTCGATATCCTATCATGGATAACAGGAACTCCAATGTAGCGTCCAAGGTTTATCGTCGTTGGGATATCAAGGGCCTCACTTAACTCTGAGCTACGAGCATGCGTAACATTCATTGAGAAAAATACCTGAGACTTGGGTTTGCTGATTTGTTGGCTAGAGGCAAGGTTGAAGGTCTCAAAACACTGAGAGATGGTTGCGATCTAAGTCGGGGATGCCTCGCCAAATAGGATCAAGTCATCTGCGGAAAAAGATGTGACAAAGATGGCCCATGTGTAGTAAGCCGAATCGGCTTCTAGGACCCGTTAGTGACACAACCAGAAATAAGATGACTCAACCTTTCCATGCATAAAGTGAATAAATACGGGGATAACGGAAAACCCTGCCTCAAACCTCGTGAAGGGGAGAACGTATCAGAGAGGCCACCATTCCATTGCACACGCCTACTGGGGGAAGGGATGCATTGCATGGTGATCTCGATGAAGGGTGGAGGGGCACCCGCGGCCTGAAGCGTATCTCTGAGAAATTCCCACTTGATTCTATCATAAGCCTTGGCTAAATCAACCTTGACCACCATCCAACCAGTACGACCTTGCTTGGAAAGCATCGAGTGGACAACTTCCTGCATAATGCATATGTTATCAATGATTTGTCGCCCAGAAATGAAACTCGTCTGCGTTTCTGCAACCAACTCCTGCATCAGACTCTTCAGACATTCCGCCAGGCATTTGGTAACGATTTTGTAAGTGACGTTACACAAGCTAATTGGGCGAAACTGCTCCACTTGAGATGGTGTAGTGACCTTGGGAATAACCAAAATTATAGTTTCATTAACCTCCTTAATTGATTCGGGTTGGATCCACCCAGCAAGCGGAGATAAAATCCACCATCGATTCCAGGAGCTTTAAGTGAGCCCATCAATCGAACCGCTAAGCGGTCCTTGTGGGGTCCCCGCTTCAAATCCCGGATGAACGGGTGCTTGAGGTCGGGCTTTGACATGGTCCTACAAGAGAACAACCCAAAGTAGAGCCATAAAAAGGTTAATCACACCCCCACACTTGAGAATAGAAAACAGCCGAACCATGGTTTCATCAATAGTTCGGGGGTCAATAACTCAATCAAACAAGCACAATCTGGGTGGGGGTGCATATCTAAAATGAAGTAGGCAACTTAAGGTTCACATCTATCGCAAATACACCATCAAAGCACAACATTAAGGGCCCCAACCGGCTCCCAGAAAATGGTATGAAAAACTGGCATTTGATCGAACACCTTGTGTGCACTATTAAGTTAAGCATGGAATTGGCAAAATTCTAGCACACAAGGGCTCAAATAAGCATGGGAAACATTGCCCAACACAATTCACACATAAACCAAGCCTTCCCCTCAATCAATTGCACACAATTCACACATTGCAAAGTTGTTCTCTAAACATACACCCTAACACCCAATTCTCCACAATTCACAAGGTAAAGGGCAAAATCAAACCTGGAGACACAAGTAGAGGTGTAGGGGATGATGAGGGGAAGACAATGAAGCGACGAAAACCCCAAAATCTGCCCGGAAATGCTCGTCGGAGCCTTGCCGGAGTCACGCCAAAAATCCCCTCCGGCGACTCAAAATCGGTCCAAATCGCCTCAAAATCGAGGGATAGGCCAAAAATGGGGAGGAAAGGTTGGGTGTGGTGTTGGTTTGGTGAAAAATCGACTAAAAATGGACGGAAAATCCTCAAAGAGGTGAAAAGTCGCGGTTTTCCGGCGAGGGGGAGAGGATTCCGGCGAGGGGAGTTGGATTTTCTGGCGACGCGGCCGTGTCGGCCGAATTTATAGACGCCGGCTCGGCCACACGGGCATTGCCCACACGGCCGTGTGAGGTGCAAAAGTGCCCGTGTGTGGCCGAGGAAATCACACGGCCTGGCCGAGGGATTTCACACCGCCGCGTGAAAGAGCAATTCTTGTCGTGTGGAAATCACCAAGCTTTCACACGGCCAAAGGCCAATTCCACATAGTCGTGTGAGGGACCCCTGCTGCCCGTGTGGAATTTATAGGGGCTTCACACGGCCAAAAGCCAATTCCACACGGCTGTGTGGAATTTAAGCATGGCCGTGTGGAATTCCAGAGCCCCGAATCCGACCTGTTT